AGAGAGAGAGAGAAAGAAGAAAGAAAGAAAGAAAGAAAGAAAGAAAGAAAGAAAGAAAGAAAGAAAGAAAGAAAGAAAGAAAGAAGAAGAAAGAAGAAAGAAAGAAAGAAAGAAAACAGTAAATTTAGACAGGAGGATGGCGGTCTGTTAGAGGCTACCCAGTGAGACCATGATCATAATAGTGGTAATAGAAATCAAAACAGGAAATTTAGACAGGAAATCATTGTACAAATGCATGGGATAAGGGACTAAAGCCGGGTGTCAACTCAAAAATGCCTATGGATTCAAGGGAGCTGAGACATCCTGCTTTCAAAGTGAACAAACTCAATGAGCAAACCTCTTAAATACTCCAAGAAGCATTCTTGTTTCTTTTGAGACAGACAGGGTCTCTCTGTGTAGCCCTGGCTGTCCTGGAACTCACTTTGTAGACCATGCTGGCCTCGAACTCACAGAGATCCACCTGCCTCTGCCTCCTGAGTACTGGGATTCCAGGCGTGCCCCACCACACCCAGCTCTGCCCTGTGCTTTTTAAAATAGTCTCATTCTATAGCCCAGGCTATCCCTTCTGTAGCCCAGGCTGGCTTTGAACCAACCATCCTCCAATCTGAGCCTCCTGGTGCTCCAAGGTCCCTAGGGCTGGAGACACAAGTCCAGGAGACAGGAGTCCGGGTCCCAAGTCCCCCCCAGTCCCCCCCAGCCTGCAGGAGCTGCGGCGATGGGTGCTCAGCGGGTCACCCTCTCCCCTTCTAGAACCCCCTGTTGGTGGAAGCCGAGAAGAAGGTATCCTACAGCTGCTGTAGCCAGGGCTGGGTAAAGCTGCAGGTACAGATGGCCAAGAACACCTTCGTGCCGGGCGAGAAGGTGACCTTCACGTCGGAGATCCGCAACAACACGGGCAAGTACATCAAGACGGTGGTGTTCGCCCTCTACGCCCACGTGCAGTACGAGGGCTTCACGCCCAACGCCGAGCGGCGCCGGAGGGCAGACAGCAGTGAGCTGCTCCGGCAGGTGGCCAACGCTCGCATCCCAGCCTTCAACAGCACCACGGTGGTCAGTGCCTTCACCTTGCCCCTGGTGTTGTCCGTGAGCAACGGCTCCCAGGAGAATGAGCTCATGCAGACCAGCTATGAGCTTGTAGTGACTGTCCACCTCCCCTGGTCCTTGTCAACTGTCAAAGCCCGGCTCCCCATCATCATCACCAGCACCAGGGAAGACCAGGCCAACTGCCCCCAGGCGGATGAGTCACCAAACGAGGATCAACGGGTTTGAATGCCGGAACTTTAAATATTAAAAGCCTATTGTAACTCTAAGTGAGTTGCTTGTCTGTTAGGCCTAGGGCTAGCCTGGCATGTGCAATGCCCGGGGCTCTATCCTGGATACCCTGTAATCCCGGTGTGATGGCACACATCTGTCACCCCAGCACTCAGGAGATGGAGGAACAGGAGTTCAAAGCCATCCTCAGCTTCATAGCGGGGTGCGTAGCAAGCTCCGGGCTAGCCTGGGCTATATGAGACCCAGTCTGAAGGGAACAGAGACGTCTCTAAGGTCTTGGCAGAGCAGCCACTCTGGGCCAAGTTCCCGTGGATTGAGTATCTACCTCTAAACAGAGATCACCAAGGCCTTTGGCATGGTGGCACACGCCTGTCGTCCCGGTACTGGGAAGACTGAGAGGTCTTTCCCAGCTACATATGGATATGGATTGCCAGCCAGCCTGGACTATGTGCGACCCCATGTCAGAGTTCACGCCACAGCTGCCATCAGCAACCCAGCTAAGGCTTTCTGGACCATTCTCTCCAGCTCCGCAGCTTTCACGGGGAGACTCCTTCCCCCTCCACCCCTGAGACTCAGTGACCCACAGGAGCAAGCGTTGGGGACACTTCCTGTGTGGTGACTGATGGCACCCACCATGCCAGGTGGGCTAACGGGAGAAGGCAGCTGGGGCCACCCTGCTTCCTGTCCCCCGTGGAGGGGCCCCTCATTCTTCCTGGCTCCCAACCCCCAAATAAACCCCCTCCCGGGAACCTAAGCCGCTCACACAGCTGCAGGCCCTGGGGAGAGGTGGTTGCTGCTGCTACCCAGGGACTGCCCGGACTGCAAGCCCCAGTCACCAGTGCTGTGACCAGGCGCCCCACCATCTAGGGCTGGTGAGAGAAGCCCACCCCTCTTGTCAATTAGAGGGACTTGAGGGTCCTATCCAGCTGGATGCCCCGCCCGGGTCCAATGTGACACCTCCATGTTCGCTTATTCAGTTTCAAGGTGGTCACCCGGACAGCAGCCCCGGAACAAAGAGGCACCGGAACAGCTTGTTCCCACCGGCGGGACAACACACCAGGATGTCCCGGTGGCTGGCAGTGCTCGGAGCGGCCGGCCACGCCAGGCCACTCTGGGCCAGACTGCCCTCTCTGGGGACTGGGAGGGCTGTGGTCCCGGAGGGATTGGGTTACAGGCCCCACAGGACACAGCCCTTGGGCCCGGCCAAGATATTTACGAAGTGAAGCCTGCCCACTGGCCCGCTTGCTTTGAAGTCACCTCAGGAGCCACCCGGCAGCCTGCATGGTTTGTCTCAGAGCCCAGAGAAACAAGGGGCCGAGGAGACTTAGTGGCTGCCTCTCACAGGAGCCGGAGTGGCCAGGATGTGATGGCCCACGGGGCCTGGAAGAGCTTGGCCAGCCTGGTGGGCCACGGGGTCTCAGAGCTGTGCCCCTCCCCCAAGACCACCGCAGTCTCTCACGGGGACAGCGGGCAGCTGGCGCCAGGAGGCCCCGGAGGGCGGGGACAGCCAGGGCCTGCATGTTAAATGTCCCCCAGCTTCCTGTGGTGAGGGGCAAGATAAAGCCCTGGCCACACAGGCCACGTGAGTAGAAGACGTGGACAGCAGCTGGCTTTGCTGAGTAAAAGCAAGGACTGTTAACGGTGTCCTCCAAAGAGTGAGGACATGATGGCACCAGGACTCTGCAGACAGAGAGCGCTCTCTCATCTAGAGTCTTTGTTTTTCCTGCCTCAAATCTCATGTAACCCAGGCTGGCCTCCAGCTCACTATGTAGCACAGGCTGCCCTTGAACTGACACCCCCCCCCATTCTCCCTGCCCCCAGCTCCAGGGTGCGGGGGTGACAGGCATGCACCATACCTGGTGGATATAGTGTTGGAGACAGAACCCAAGTTTGAGGTGTGCTGATTGACCAGTCTGGCCCAGACCCCAATTTCTTCTAAAATTCAAAGATGCCAGAAGTGAATGCATATGCCTCTCATTCCAACACGGGGAGACTGAGGCAGGAGGATGGCCTCAGTCAGTGAGACAAAGGGAAAGTTCCTTGGAGGCCAGCAAGATGGGTCAGTGAGGAAGGGAGCTTGTTGCCAATTCTGAAGAGCTGAGTTCAATCCCCAGGCCCCACCAGGCAGAGAGAAATGACACCTTCATGCTCCTGCCTGACTTACACACACTCAATAAATAGATGTAACACGATTTTAAATATCCCAGGGCTTCCCTCCCCCAAATAGTGTTTTGTTTTGGAGACAAACTCACTGCGTAGCTCTGGCTGTCCCCTACAGTCTTAATCCTGTCCTTCTGGCCCGTCTTCCCCCTGGTCTCTGAGTAGCTACCAAGCCAAGAGGGTCCAGACCATGTCCCCAGGGCTGCCCTGCAGGACCTTGGTATACCGTAGGTGTCTAATAACTGTTGAATGCCTGTGTACACAGCCAATGAGCCACAGGCCAGGCCCAAGGTTACTAGTACATGCCTGCAGTCTGGGCAGTCTGGCCCAGAGTCGCAGAGGGGAGGGCGCCATCGGGAGTCACAGGGAAGGGGCACCCTCGTTGGCACAGGGGAAAGTGTGTCTTCGGAGTGGGGGGGCACAGAGGGAAGGGGCGCCACCGTCGGGGAGGCAGGGCGCCACCTGGCGGCAGTGTGCCCCATCCCTCCCCAGCCCCTGCAAAGGCGGCATTGTTCAGGGGAAGCAAGAAGATGAGGAACTCAGTCATCAAGGCAACCCAGAAAAAGGAGGTCCGGGGCGGAAGACAGGAAAGGTTTGAGGTGCCTCACCCTCCCCAGGTTGGGAGCACGTTCGCACATGCGCAGTTGCAAACGCCTGAGTCCATTTTTCACCATAGACCCGTGGGGCTGGGGAGCAGCATATAGGTCACCCCCTTAGCAAACACATTCCGTTCTTTCTTAGCCTCTGAGGCTGTCTGAGGTGAACCCCCTGGCTTACAGACCACGGGGAGGAAGGTTTAGGAGGGCGGGCAGCTTCAGGGACCGTTTGATCCACAGTCCGGGGACCACAGGTGGCCATCTCGGCCTCAGCGCCTCGCCCACCAGGAGGCCTGGGCACGGTGAGCGCCTCCGGCTGGCTGCGAGAGAGCAAGCTTTCCTCTAGGGCCCCGTCGGGGCTGTGTGACTCTTGGCTACGGCTTCCCCGCGTCCGGATGGAGACTATCCCTTGGCACATCCGAAGGAAGACGTCACTCAGCCATCTCTTGGATCCACAAGCTCTTTGGGGTCTCTGGAACCATGGGGAGATCCAAGGACCCCCAGAAATCCCTCAGGAAGGGACATTACACAGGGTTTCCTCTCTCCCCTCCACCCAGGACCAAGGCTCTAGGTCCTTCTGGGATTCAACTAACCGGCAACCTGGTCTGGGTCTCCTGCGAAAGGTGGGCAAGTGGGCGGGACTAAGCCACAGGAGCCTCTGATTGGTCATCTGTCCTGTCACTCCCAGCCCCTCCCCTCCCACGGGATCCACTAGGCCGCCCCGCCCCTCTCGGGCAGATCCGAGCTTGCTTTGGGAGGGGAGGTGTTGCTACCTCGACGCCCTGAGAACTCTGGTGAGACCGGGATGCGGGTGGTGGTGGTGGTCCAGGGTCGAGCTTGGGGTGCCCCCGGGGAGGAGGGAGACACGAGGCTTTGCTCGGGGAGGATCAGAGGCCCCCAAATCTCTGCATGCTAGAAAACCCCACTTTTACAGGAGACTAACTTTTACCCGAGGCTCGCAACTTTTACAGCGCGTCCAACTCTTGGCCTGGCCACCCTGGGCCTTTAGAGATGGGAACTGGGTTCCTAAGTGCCAAGGAAGGTGGATTCGACCGTCCTGGGTCCCCAGAGTTAGAGCTGTGCTCAAACGCACGTCCCGTGCTTCCTGGCCTGCGGCTCCACCCTCCTCCCCGGTACTGGGTCCGCTGTCCCCAACCCCCCCAGAGCAGCGACCCCAGCAGCCTCGGTTGTAAATAGGTTTACCAGCCCAGCTGGCCCGAGCCGCTAGAGTACGCGTTGGGGTGGGGTGTAGGCGGGGAGGGACCCTTGCATAAAGCCAAGCCTGTTCCACAGGAGGTTATGACCTGCGATCTTGTCCCCAGCCGGGCCTGGTGCCGCCCTCTCTTGGAATCTCTCACATTCAGCCTTTTGTTTCTGTTTTGGTGATTGGTTTTGGAAATGGGCCTGCTCTGTAAACTAGGGTGGCCTGGAACTTGCCATCCCTCTGCCTCCACCGGTATTGCTGGGATGACAGCATGTCACCAAACCAGGAAGACAGACTCCCTTGACCACTTCTAAGCCCTGGCTACGCAGCAACCTTTGACCCTGGGGGCTTCTTTGGCTGTCTCAGCAAAGAAAATAATCTCGTGGGCGGGGTGTGAGGGGGAGGGTCAGTTCCTGGCAGCTGGAGTCAGCTGCAGGAAGGTCACAGACCCCAAGAACTCACTCGGAGAGTGCTTCCTGCGGTGGCCCCCCACTGCGGGGACTGGGGGGGGGAGCTGCAGGGTGTCTGACTTCTAAGGGATCCGTGAGACTTTGCTGCCCACCTGGTAAGGTGATGGTAACGGCTTAGGTGGCATTCACAGGGCCTGAGGCATGGCCCTCATCACCTGACTCCGCTGTTGGGAAACCTTTGGCACCAACCGGAAGCTGCAGCCTTCCCTATCAGCAGTTAGGCTGTGGTATGCCAGACCGGTTTATTGAGCATCCCACAACCAGTCCCGCTAGTGTCTGGGCTATAGATCAGGGCAAGCAAGCTTCCCAAGGGGCCGAGTCCTCGGAGCTCCTCCCAGGGGGCTCCAGAGTCAGGATCAGGGGCCACTGAGATGGCGGCAGACGGTCACCTGAGTTTGATGTCCGAAACTCCTAGTGGAATGAGAAAATCTACTGCAGGTTGTCTTGTGACCTTCACATGGGCACACGATGGTGAGCACACACACACACACACACACACACACACACACACACACACACGGTAAACAATAAATAAGAGAACTGAGGTTGTGGCTCACTGGTGGGTGTTTGCCTAGCATGTGATAAGACTCCCTGGGGCTGGGCAGTGGTGGCGCAAGCTTTTAATCCCAGCACTCGGGAGGCAGGCGGATCTCTGTGAGTTCGAGGCCAGCCTGGTCTACAGTGCGAGATCCAGGAAAGGTACAAAGCTACACAGAGAAACCCTGTCTCGAAAAAAAAAAAAAAAAAAAAAAAAA